AACTAGATTTCGATATTGTCTGGTTGCCCAAGTGGCCCTTCTATATTTATGTATTAGTATTCGGGGGGGGGGGGGGTACTATCAAAGACATTAGACAAATGTCTTTGGTACTATGTACTAATTCCCGAGGCGTGACAATAAAATGGAAACATCGGTAAAAGTAAATGTTTTACGTTTTGGTGACGTGGCTGTGGTAAGTCTAGTGATTTATATTTTACTAGATAAGTAAATAAACAATCCCGGGTAACCCGGGGAATTGCAAAAAATACTGACAGGGGTGTGTGTAGCTAGTTGTTTGAAACCACTACCCCTTATCAGACAGAAATAAACTCAAATTTCCACCCCTTTCCAGACAAACTGTGGATATTTGACACCCCTTTTCAGACAGTGAGCATAAACGGTAGCAAGGGAAAAGCAGGTGGATTACCGGGGATGGACTTTGACGATTGAAATGAAGTTACAGAAAGAAAAAATCGGCTTCATTGTGCTGGTTGTTGGGTCACTCAAGCTCTAGGGAAATAAAGACTCTTTTTAGACAGAAATAATGAAAAACGATACCCCTTTTCAGACAGACAGGGTAAAATAACATACCCCTTTTAAGTTCTTTTAAAATCAATATATAACATTTTCTATAAATATTTGTTTGTGTATTAGAATGCATCTTTTGTCAAAATCCGAACGAGGATACAAGCCCAAAGACGTTTATTTTATTTTACTTCGCGAACCTAAGGGGTCTTTTTAAAATCCAAAATGGCCGACATCAACATGTGGGAACTGTTTCAGTGATCTTGAAAAATGGGTCGTTCTTCAAAAGATAAACGGGATATATACTATCGTCTTGCCAAGGAAGAAGGTTGGAGGGCAAGAAGTGCTTTTAAACTTCTTCAGATTAATGAAGAATTCAATATTTTTAAAGGTATGTATGGTCATGTACATGCGAGTCTGGTCAGACAGGGGGGTGGATCGGTTCGGGAGGATCTATTTACCACAGGGATCTGACAATATAGACGTCTATAGGGCGGAACGACTATAGGTTGGGAAGTTAGTTTGTTGGAAAATTGGGTTGCCAGCTTGGCATGGCCCTGTATAATTTGGGATGTTAGTTGGAAAGGTGGGTTGCCAACTTTAGCATGGCCCTGCATAAGTTGGGAAGTTAGTTACTTGGAAAATTAATTTCACAGTTTTAAGTTAAGTTTTTGTGTGGCTTACTTTTGTTATTATGTTCATTGTTTCTTATTGTTATTATTATTGGGTAAATAAATATTATTATTACTATTAAATAACTGCAATTGACTACCCTTAAGTTATTGTTTTTGCTAGAGAGTGTATTTAATACAGTCAGTACCTGGATGGCAGTGCTGCCCAAAATCATACCTCAAATTACAAAATATCTTTTCCAACTTACTAGTCAAGTGCTGATAAACACTATGCTATTGTAAAGTGTCTACCAATTATATATAAATCATACATTTTTTTCAATTTCAACGAAAAATGACCATTTAGAATCAGTCTATTACCAGGCTTCAGTTCCATCTATATGTGCATGCATTGAGCGCCCTCAAACGACAACCAAAAACAAGATTTGTATGGATAATTTACAAATTCCTTTGTCACAATAAAATTACAACTAAGCCCATAGTACGTACCTACATGTAGACAAAAATTAATTAATTAGTCCAAATCAAGTGATATGGGGGGGGGGGTTTACAAAATGTAGTAAATCATTTTTGTAACATTTGATCACATTGTAAACTACCTGTACGAACCATGTTTGCACCTGCTGTAAACTGTTTTTGAATATTGTGGTCTGAAAGATAATTTTGATGAGAATATCAAAAATAAAGAAAGGTTGGTGTTTGTCGCACCACAAATTCAACAATTGTGTTGGTACATGTAAACATTGATTTTGCCCACAATTTAATGCTCTTGTTTTTTGGGATATCACAAGTACAAGTTTTGACCGAAGTGCAACAAGCACTGATTTCCACCGGTGATTCTTTTGATTTCTTCCAATCACTAAAGATCACACACTATGTAGTTAAAGCTTAATAACGTTTAAGTATGTTCTTGTTGGTCTGCACAGCAGTCAAAGTCGCCATCTTTGTTCATATGAAATATATCCTGCACATGCGTGGCGTGACGACTACCACCCTTTAATACCAATTATTACTGTAAAATCTGTATTAGACGCCGCGGTACATGTACAATACAACAGAGGGGATGCGGCTTCTATTAGAGCATCTACACATATGAGAAATGGTGAATTTTTGGTTCTCAATTGTTCAAAAAGAATGTGTGCGGCCTTCAAGACCACACAGAAAACAATACATACAGTACAAATTTGAGAAAGTAGAAAGTACAGTAGTATTGTAAAACAGACTGCCTGTTATGAAGTTTGAATAATACATGTACTGAATTAGGATAAATATGTCGATAAAAGTCTTAACATTTAATTTATTATATTTATTGTACAGATGTTAGTAAAGTTGTTGATCTGTGTGCTGCTCCAGGAAGCTGGAGTCAAGTATTGAGCAGAAGATTGAGGTAACTGACATTTGCTTTTTCATTACTCTGATTCATCAAGTAGTTTGTGAAACATGTTTCTTTTTGATATGTTTATTGATTAATGCCTTTCTAGGCCACAGGCCCATATGACTGAAACGTATAATATAACGCTAATATCATAACTAATATCATGAATTCCATG